CCTAATGGAGTTAATATTTGGTTAGTTCATTCTATAACCTATCTTCACCTGTGGTAGTGATTTCCTCTTCTGTTCTGTGACCTTACTGAATGTGCCAAGTGTGAGGGAGTTTAATGTAGAATTTTACACCAAAAAAAAATTAGCAAAAGCCTGTGTCCCATTGATAGAGGAGAAAATTATTTAACCTTGCTTTCTGGGTAATTGGTTTTTTAATGCCTTAATGCAAAGTGTTTTTAAAATCTTCCCTAAACCACATGTTGTTCTAAATTTTGCTTATTCTTAAATGTACTAGCTAGACTAACTGTAGATTAATTGTGGCCCTATGAAAATTGTGCCTTTAAGGTAGATTGTTAAAGAAAGAGAAAATTTAAAAATTCCAGAAAATCTAATTTAAAGTCAGATCACAAGATTTTAAAATACATGGCAGTTAAACATGTATAAATGGATCCTCTGTCTCAAGGAGGCCTAGCCCTGTGCAGGGTTTGTTGGGAGACCTGAGGGCATGGCATCAGTGGCAACCACAAGCAAAGACTGAAGTTTCCAGAACCGTTCATGCCTTCCCTTCCAGGATGGGCTTCTCTGCACCAGAACACATATGGTAGCACAGGAGTCCCCACAAACTATAGAACATCTGGATGCTAGACTAAAATTTTCATTCTTCATCCAAATAATAGAATACTTGTGTATCCTTTGCATAGACACAAATCCAAACCAAAATAGTTAAATTTAACCTTGAGTGTGAGATTAAATAACATTCTTTGTTTCTATGAAAGGAAACACTTTCTCCAAATATTTTCTACCAAGTGTTGTCAACCACAGTCCTGGGGCAACACAGAGGCCCATTCAGTGATAAGCAGTTTGCTGGTGCCTGGGGCTGCTGGTAGGGCAGCGCTTGGAGTGCTGGTTGCAGATTTGAGGGAGAATTTAAAAGAGAAATCACTAGTGTAACCTCTTACAACAACCCAGGACTTGCAATACCATACATTTGTATTTCTTTCCCAATCCAAACTCTTTCCACGTTTGTTCACAAACCAGGTTGATTTAAATTCAGTGCAGCAAGATTCTTGGAATTCATCCCTCCCTGGGGTAGATGAGGTGGAGGTTACCTGTCCAGCAGGGAGTCCCTACCCTCAGCATATTTTTGAGTTACAGAAGACCAGACTAGCATAGGGGAAACACTGGAATGTGGGGTACAAAGTGTCAAAGTAAGGACAAGAGACAACAGCACTTAGCATTTCAACTCAGGAAGGAATACAATAGATCAGCAGCATTCACAGAATTTGGGAAAGGTTTTACAAAGAGTAGAGATTTGGCATTTTGATTTTAGATGGAGGGAGAAGAAGAAGGAGGGTACCTTAGGCAAGAGAAATGACATAAGGCACAGCCAGCAGGTGTGAGAATAAATACCCAACTAGAGTGAAGGGTTTGTTTTTGCTGATAAAGACAAGTTGACTCAGATGGGACAAGGTGATGGGAGACCCTGGAGGCTCTGCGGGAGGAATTTAGAGTGGATTCTGCAATGTGGAGCATGGGGAGCCATTGCAGGTTCTCAAGCAGAGGTATATCATGATATTTCTAAAACAGGCACCCTTGAATCTGCTGGCTCTTTTAGGGAGCTGTTTTTCCAGATTTTTGTTCTAACCTGGGTATTCGAGTCTCCTCTTTTTGCCAGTTACTGCTCTTGTCTGCTTCAGCATGGCATAGTCTCACATCCCTCCCTCTTGTACTTCCAGATTCAAATGGCTGTGTGAGGGCAGAATCAAAGGTGGGGGGAACATCGGGGTAGAACATTCTTCTGGAATACTGGGAATGCCTGATGCTGGAGGACCCTAGAGGGTTCATGAAAACAGGACCATGTGGTTCCTGGCTCTCTGGCCTCCTCTACACTCAACATTGCCTGACCTCCCAGGGCCAGCAGGACTGATGGGCAACTGTGCTGGTCACAGTGATTGGCTCAGAGAACGTGAGCTTGTGGGGTGCTGATGAAGACATTTTCCTGAGCGGCTGCTCCAGTCTCATCAGTCCACGCCCCGATTACCCTTTACTCTTGAACTTTAAACCAACCAAAGATTTTCTTTTACAGTCTGATTTAAGATATGTTTTAAGTCAGGCCTTGACGATACATGTTTCTTCCACACTATAAGTTTCTCTCCTTTAATGCTGCAAAATTAAGATCTCTATATCCAGCCCACCTTTTTGCAATGTTTTTTAAAAGGGGAGAAACCAGATTGGGAAGAAATTCATTCATTCATTTTGGGAAAGTAAAATGCATCTAACCTGATGGAATATTTATAAAAATTGGAAACTCATTGTCAACTAAATCTCATTTATTTAATCTAGTATTAGACTGCCTTTTTTTTAACCAGATGGAAAACATTAGCAGTAATAGTGAACAAACATATCCAGGCTCCCAGAGGTCATTTTTAACCACCATTAACAATCTGGTTTCACAGATTAGTAATATACAAAAGGCAGCGGTCCAGTAAAAGATACATAAAAGGCAGCTGAAGCTTCTTTGCCCCTTATTTACCTAACATTCAGCTTCTTTAATAAAAAAAAAAATGACATTTGTGAGACAAGTTGTATCTTTTCAGCACAAAGGTGGTAGATTTTACCCAGAAGTTGCAGCAAAATATTTGTTTGAAATAGACACTGATGCAAAATATTAGTAAAACCTCCACAAAGCTGATGGAAAGAAAAGCTTATTATTAATGTCATCAGTAGATTTGCCTGTGGTTAATGTAGTTTCCATTTACTAGCTATTTGTTTAATGGTGTCATACCTATGTAAACCTCTTAACTGTGGAAAAGAAATGCATTTTTGTGTATCATATTTTAATTTTTTATTTAATAATCTAATTAAAATACAATATATGATAAAGAGTCCACGCAATGTGGTCATGAATTTTAAAAAAATCTGGTCTGTAATGTGATAAGAACATGACTTCTAAAGTTGTCTATTCAGAAACAAATGATCTCATTTAAATCCTTTTTTGAGTGATTGGGAAAGTTGTAGGATAAAACCTCATTATGCCTGTAGACAGCTGCAGATATGTACATGCTCATTTCTTCTCTTGTTCAGATTTCATACCATATTATGAAACTTCTATGCATTAACTGAGAATAGACATAACTACACATGATGTGCATTTACTTCCATTTCAAAATACCATTATTTTTGGTTTACATAATTATGATTTTTTTCAACCTCCAAGTTACTCTTCTTTCAGATACTGGTATTTTATAAGAATTATACCGAGGTCAATATTTAAAAGACTTCACAGATATTTCCTCATTATGTTCATATTATATGGAGCAGAAAAAAAAAGGTACTAACATTCGAGAGCCTGTAGAGAGAGGTCACATCCAAGATGAGCGTGAGAATGAAGTTGCGCAAATATGATCTACATAGTAGAGAAAATCCTACTGGGGATCCATGGATATTATTGTCCTAGTGATGGGGAACTAGGGAAAGTGCCTTCTCCCAGCTATACACATTTGGGGGAATAGTTGCATATATGTATAGTTACATATAAGTATTGTATACACACATATGCACAGGCACACATACTTCATCAGGTGGATTGCAGAACTGCTGTTTATAATAGCACATTGGGGATTTTCCTGTCTGTCCTTGATACCGTAGGCCCCTGCTCTGGAGATATTGTTTCCTTCTTTGAAGAAATTTTACCTTGACAGTGAAATCTCCCAGTATTTCTACAAGTGCTTGGGGCTATTACATTCCATTTCTTGCTGAAGAAGGGAAATGAATAAATAGTGAGGAGAGAATTGAAATGATACATTCTGAACTGTGCTATAATTTAGAATTTACAAGCTCCTGGGGTCCCTTTCATGACAACCAGACACTTTATTGAATACCTGTTATGTGTTCACTGTGCTGGGCACTGGGCATGCAGGGAAGGCTATAGCAGGCCACCTAGTAGAAGGGGAAGGTGGGTAAGCAAACTGTACCAGGAACCAGAGGAAGCTGCTAAACCAGTGCCAACCCACCCACCCCACCCCAGGGAGGAGGGGGGAAATCCACAGAACCTCAGAGCATCCTTGTCTTTAGATAGAAATGAAAAGCTTAACTAAATTATGTGACTAGTTGAAGATGTAAGATTGAAACCTGAAAAAAATTGGATTAGCTGAATGATTGAATTTTTTAATTTATTTATCTTTTCTGATTTATGGAGACTCAGTTTATGAATGCAGGTAAGTACGTTTTCTTTGACATCATCATTCGAATTAGCACATAAGCAAAATAGATGGAACAATCTAAACTTTATCTCCAACATAGTTTCTATGGGTCAAAGGCAATAGTTAAGAAACTATCAGTGAGTATGTGAATATGACAAAGTAACATGAGATAACTTCACATCTCTGTCTTAGATTGATGTCTTTTCTATCAATTAGGAAATTGTCAATTATTAAGAAGTTATTAGGAAATCACTATCTATTATTAGGAAAGCACTTATAATCACTCCAGGCTTATAATCACTCCAGCTCCCAAGGACAACAGAAGTCTTCTCCTACTTCTTTTTCACTGCTCCAAATTTTGGCATTCCAGGAAGGGGAGAGGCTTCAGCTTGGATGGCTCCTAGGGAGCCTTCTGGTTAGTTGCTGGCTTTTTCCCTTCTAGAAGGAGTGGAACTCTGAATTTCTGCCAGAAGTGTTGATTGTTTACAACTAAGTTTGTAATTACCTTCAGCAGAAAGGATGGATCCTTGTAGGAGTAGAGCTAACTTTGGGAACCTGCTTTCAGGGAGCTGCCCTCACAGGCCAGGTACCTTCACCTTCCAGAGGTGCCCTCACCTTCTAGAGAGCCCCACTAAGGTCCAGAGGGATTATGCACACATAAATGAGGATAACATTTGGTTATGAGGACTTCTGCCTTCAAGCTATGTTAAATAAGCTCTTATGCAAATAGTAAAAGAAAACGAAAACTTTCAGAAAATAACCTACACAAAACTGATATTTTTTCTCTCTTTTTTTTTTAAGGTGAACACACACAAGAAACAAATTCACCTCATTCGCTCAAAAAGGATGTAGAAAATATGGGGAAAGGTAAGGAAGTTTTAATTCTATAGAACTTCTCTTAGCTTTAAAAGACTATAGAGATAATAGGAGGATATTTTTGTTCTGCTCCATATTTTAAGCTTGACAAGCAACATATGAATAATATATGGACCATTGGGTGGATATAATTGAGATTAATGCATACATATCAATCAATACATGACACTGTAATATAATACTTTAAAATAATATATTACATTGATTTATATTCATGGATTTCTGCACAAAATCTATCCTATGTCTATGCAACACTTTTTAAACTGGTAAAATATTTTGTCTTATAATAATAAATTGCCATATATAACAGTTCTCTGGAGAGTTATTTGTAAAGATTAGTAAAATGACTCTTCTTTTTTTCTTTATTAGAAGAACTTCAGAAGGTTTTATTTGAACAAATAGATTTACGGAGACGACTAGAACAAGAATTCCAAGTCTTGAAAGGAAATACATCTTTTCCAGTATTCAGTAAGAAATCACTTTTGTTTCATTACTTTCATGATACTTGATAAGATTTCTTTTATTAAGCTTAAGAAGATACTTCTAAGTATTAAGTGACTATATACAGTACCCCATGGCCTCTGTTTAAATATTCAGAAATTTTGGCCTCTTATTTATGCTGAGTCTGTGCAGCGATAAAACTATCTTACAAAAACCTTGTGGCACTATTGTTTTCTTGTGTGTTTATCTTTATGCATTTTCGTTTATATTTCAAATATATATGAAAATATACTATTATCTAGGTAGGTATGTTTAAATATTTAAGTGTATTTAGATTATGTATTTTAGAGCAAAATAATTACTTGGGTTGTTTTTTTTTCTTGAAAGTAGGGAGGAAAAGGATTAGTTTTTATTCTCCAATAATACTGGAGAGCTACCTCGTGCTTAAAATAGATATAAAAAAGAAGATTTTAAATAATTACAGGTGCACATACCTATTTTATTCATTTAAATTAGTATGATTTTAGCAATTTTGGGTTCTTGGTCTATATTAAATGTTAAAATTCCATCATAAATTTAGAGACAGATGACACTGTGGTGTAAAAACTGTTGGTTCTACTCCCAGAGTGTGGCAATTTCACACTTTATGATAGGTGTCCAGATTTCTAAAAATCACAGCTTTGGGTCATATTTGGACAAACATCCCAGTAGTATTTTTCCAAACTTTTTGGAGTTTCATTTAGTCATAATCCCCTCTCCAAAGAAAGGGAAGCTGGGAAGAAAGTAGCATGTGAGCTTATATTTCAAATTCTATAAATTTAATATTAAATTTCTGGACTTTTTTTAGTACGTCAGTATGCCCCTTGTTATTAATCCAAGCATCACAAAACTCATGTTGATTTCTGGTGCTAAAAGTCGCAGATCTGAAAGAATTTTTAATTGTGACAATTTTAATAATTGTGCATGACTGCATTCATGATGGATTCTCAAATGTAACTGTCAGCACAACAGAAAGGTGTGCCCTCTCGGTAGTGTTTTTGACTAGTACCAGGTTTTCTGTGATATGTCAAACTGAATCCCAGATATGTCAGAGCCAGGTGAAAATGAAGTGAGAGCTCTGACTGCAAAGAGCAGTGGGGTCTGCCAAGTTTGTGATCCTCAAGGCCCACCTGGGAGGTTTGGAATTCAGGGTGCTCAGTATTTTAAATTCAGAGGATGCCTGCTGAGGCTTCAAAAAAGCTCTAGTTGGGCCTTCCTGGTGGCACAGCGGTTGAGCGCTGGGTTGCGAAGCTGCCCACAGCCTCCATAGCGCCGGTTCGATCGCCGGCCACCAGCGAGGGTCCCATATGGCGTGCAGACCTCTCCTGCCGCCCGCTGCTCCCCTCAGCAGTATATTTCGTCAGTCTGTCTGCTCTGCTCTCCGCTCTGACTCTGGTGAATTCTCTCACCCTCCCGCGCTTCTGACTGTACCCAGTGCTTGTATAAATAAATCAATAAATCTTTAAAAAAAAAAAAAAAGTTCTAGTTCTAGTGGTGGAGGGTGGACAGTAGCTTTTGAGAGGCTATTGGGTTCCCCAGGATATTTGTAGCTTCAAGAGAAAGAGACACATTAAAAAAGCCCTTGAAATCTTTAAAAACCTGGTGCTTCCAAAGGATCCAGAAATCTCTAACTTATAAAACAGCAATGAGCAAGCCCTGAAGGATTTGTTTCCCCTTTAGGCTGACGCTTGTCTGACCACTGAAAGCTGCTTTCAGATCCAGCAGAGTACTGCCAAGTCCCGCGAACCCCTCAGGTGCTCACCTAACTCCTGGTGCAGCCAGTGTACTGCGACTAACCATTAATAAAAGCTAATCACTTCTAAGGAATTAAATAAGTTGTAATAATTTATACATTTTCCTTATTAGCTGCTCTGCCATAAAAACGTATCTGGTTTCCTGTTTTTTAAAAAACTAGGAGTGTTAGTACAACGAGCCAGTCTCTATCCGGACCTATCATTTATCCCTTGATCTGAATTAAAATAAATGTGATTGCCAGACATATGAAATACTTCAACCAAACAACAAATTTCCCTATTTTTCCTCTACAATCTGCTCTGCTGACCAAGGAAGTGGCATGTGTGTGCCCAAGTTTGAATAATGCGTGGTTTAGACATACCACAAAGAGGCAGTTAATTTCACACCAATGAAAACAGCATCTGCACATGATGTGCTTGTTAAATAAATGCAGGAGGCCATGAGGCTGGCGGACAGATTTAGATTGACTCAGATGCAAAAGGGGAAACGCAACTTTGTAAAGCCACCTCAGAGGAAGCATAAAGAATCCCACCAGGGTTTGCAGAGCTTTTTACTAGGAGGTGGACAGACATTCAAGTCACGATGCCTAAACTCAGTCCACTTACAACACTGTGTAGCCTGTGTTGATTAGGGATCCAGGCTCAAGAATCAAGCAGACCCGAGCTCGTGTGGGAGTCCTGCTACTTCCTGCTTGCAGGACTTTGGAAACCTTAAAAGTGGCCAGCTACTTCCTGTCTCCAAGGAAGATGAGAGGACTAAATGAAATGGTTCTCGTGAAGTGCAGCAGACATCCCTAGCCCAGGGTAAGAGCTCAGCAACAGCTGCTGAGACGATGGTGCTGATAAGGAAGCAGGAGCGGGAAGAGTGAGCACTGAGCTGTAGAAAGCATTTCTAAAATGGGTCCAACTTTCTGCGTTTCTCTTGGGCTGCTTGTGGTTCTGAGAGTTAATGAGGACCGCAGGGTTGAATCCCGGGAGTGGAGAGGGTTAGGGTAAAGAATAGGAGAAATGTCGAGGAGGAAGAGGTTAGGGTAAAGAATAGGAGAAATGTAGAGGAGGAAGGATAATATAGGGTATCCTCCTATACCCTATATTATTATAGCATCCATCCCTTTGCTGTAGCTTTTCATTCAGGAGGAAGGCACAAGTCTCCATCTTGGGAGGCAGTGGGCGAGGGGGAAGAACAAGCTTGTCTCTACCTACTGGGACAGAGGCTTCCAGAACAGCTCTCCACGAATACTTCTGCATGACCCTGATGAGGAAATCCAGGGAGGAGAAAAGAAGATAAAACAGCAGGGCAGGGTCTCCCTGGTGGCGCAAGGGGTTAAGCACCACACTATGAAGCAATCCGCAGCCTCTGCAGCACGAGTTCAATCCCCGGCCAGCCAGGGAGCAACCCACATGGTGAGGCAGACCTCTCCTGTCTCGCCAACAGCTCCCCTAGGCAGTGTCTTCGGTCCATCCGCCTGTTCTGCTCCCTGCTCTGTCTCTGGTGAATTCTCTCACCCTCCTGCACATCTGGTCTATACCCCAGTTCTAGTATAAATAAATAAATCTCAAAAAAAAAAAAAAAAACAGCAGGGCAAAGGAAGCATTTAGCTTTAGGGTGGGGGCAGAGATGCATTGTGGTTCGTAGTGAGCTGAGGGCTCCAACTTTGGACACTGACTCTCCCACTGAGTAACATTAGGCAAGTTACTGAACCTCCTTTTCAACTGTAAAACAATACTACTACCTTCCTCACGGGCTGCTGAACGAGTGAAATGTAATAAAATGTTTAGCATAGTGACCGATCCATAGTCATGTGGGTTTTTCTGCTCATACCATTTTAAAGTTTGTTACTTATGTTCCTGCAGGGACTTTATAGTAAACTAGCTGCTATTAGAAGCCAGGACTTCTACAGATTTTATTGGGCCGTAGTTTAGAATTGTGGAACAGGCAGTGAAACTTGTTTTGAGACCGGACCATAAGTCTAGCTGACAAACTGGATAGGACATGAGAAGAAAGGTGTGGAGGGCGTCTCCAGGAAAAGCAGGTGAAATGTAGAACAGAGAAATAGGTATTTGGAGGAAAAGGGTGAGAAGAAGCTTCACCATCATCAAGGTCACTCTAAGGGCAGCAGGTCAGACGTTGTTCAGTGTCAGTCATGTTCAGTTGGTCAGGAGTGAATGGTGAGGGAGCCTGCCTCCCAGAGGCCACCATTCCAGACTCTTCCATTAATGACTGGTTTCATCTGCAAATCCTGAAGGCACTGGTGCCTCCTCATTGTGTCCACCTTCTCTAGAGAGTCGCTTCTGGTTCCTTTCTCCTCTGATACCCTATATTATTATAGCATCCATCCCTTTGCTGTAGCTTTTCATTCATTGTATTTTCTTCCCACTAACCATCAGTGTAGCCTAAGGGTCGAGCCCAGAACCTGGGACTTGTAAAGATTGCAAGATGAGGGCCTCCCCGGTGGCACAGCGGTTGAGTGCTGGGCTGCAAAGCTGCCCGCAGCCTCTGCAGCGCTGGTTCGATCCATGGCCACCAGGCGAGGGTCCCACATGGCGTGCAGACCTCTCCTGCCGAGCCCACTGCTCCCTTCCGCAGTGTACTTCATCAGTCTGCCTGTTCTGCCTCCTGCTCTGGCTCTGGTGAATTCTCTCACCCTCCCGCGCTTCTGACTGTACCCAGTGCTTGTATAAATAAATAAATAAATCTTTTAAAAAAAATTGCAAGATGAGGCAATGAGTGGAGCTCATCCTCACGCTCTCCATCTCCTGTGTCCCCACAGTAGGGCACCCAGGGTCCTCACTTTTCTTCCTCACTCTTCCCCATCCGTCCCTCTCTTCTAAAACTTTACTTTTGACTCAAGAAGTTACAGTAAGTTGTTGTTGCAGATCATATGTGTCTAATTTAACTCCTGACTGACTCTTAGAAGTCTGCAGAACTGAACCACCCTGCCTCTCCACTTATTTCTACCTCGCCTGCTCAGCTCCACTTACCTGCAGGCCGCCCTCTCTCCCCTCACTTTCCACCTCTGCAAACTGTGCTCTAATTTGGATGCCTCCCCTCAGCAAGGTCCCCTCATCATTCAGGATATTCAAGGTCCTCCACCTCCAGGAAGTCTTCCAGCTCTCACAGTAAGGTACTCTTTGCTGAAGTCCCACTGTGTTTAGTTCTAGTTCTCCAGGTGTGCTGTGGGGACTCCTCCCTTAGTTATTTCCCACAGGCTACCCACCTTTACCCCGAGGCTT